CTAGGTATTTATATGAAGGTACAGGAGATATGAGTGAACCACAAATGACGTAGTTAGGAGATGGGTAAAATTTCCTATGATGAAAATAAGCGAGGGATGTTTTGTTAGCATTCAAAGACACAAGCCATCTAGCACACTAGGCCTCGATAGGGTGAAGATCAGACTGCAGGGCGTGAACGTCAATGCTGTTATTTATAGGACCATAAACAACGAAGTCGTCGGCGAATAAGCGTGTGTTATATGAGATATTAGCAGGTAGGTCATTTATGTAAATTAAGAAAAGTAGGGGACCGAGAACAGTCCCCTGGGGCACTCCAGAAGCAACCGGGGATCGGTGCGAAGAGTGGTTATTAGCATGAACGAATTGTTGTCGTTTTGACAAGAAGTTACGAATCCAGTTACAAGCTGCAGGGTCGAGGTTTAAACGCAAACGTTTTAATAAGAGACGTTGGTGTGGAACTTTATCAAAAGCTTTTTCATAATCTAGAAAGAGGGCATCCACAGGTATGTTTTGATCAGCACCTGAACTTAGATCGTTAGTAAAAAGAGCAAGCTGGGTTTCACAAGAAAATCCTTTTAGAAAACCATGTTGGCTCGGGGGAAAAAAATTAACAGATACTAAGAAATTTATAACATGGCGATATTCTCCATTAATTTTAATAAAACACTGGTGATTGAAATGGAACGATAACTGCTGCTTGAGATTGGTGGACCTTTTTTGGGATAGGAACAATCTTACCCACCTTCCAATCCAGTGGTACCACCCCAGATGAGAGAAATTGCTGAAAAATGGGAGACAAAAGGACGCTTGTGGCACTTTTTGCGTGTTTTAGCATCCTCAAATTGATGCCCTCAACACCTGCGGATGATGCTAGTTTCAAGGCTGCGATTGCTTTTAGGACTCCATTAAAATTAAAGTTTATGTTGGGAATAGCCGGGTGATCAGAATAAGGAAATTCGGGGAGATCGCCGGCTGGTTCTTGCGTAAAAACAGAACAGAAGGAGGAGTTCAATGTTTATGGAATGTCATGTTTGGGAATGGGCGAGTTGTTCTGATCACATAATGATATGGGCTTTGATTGACCGGGGTTGATCATTTTCCAAAATCGCTAAGGATTGCTATGCAACATTGCGGGCAAAGTAGAAGAAAAAAACGTGCGTTTGGCTTGAGCAACAAGAGAGTCAAACATTGTTTCGGTAGAATTGTATTTATCCTATGCCCGCGTGCTGTTCGACAGTTTAGCTGATCTAAACTGTCGCTTTTCTTTTTGTTGCTGATACGTTTCAGCACGGTATTGAACCACGGAGTTGATATTTGCTCAATAACAGTGATAGTAGGCATATACGTTGTGATTAGATGTTCCATTTTGTTTTTAAAAAATGACCAGTTTTTTTCAACAGAACGTCGTGCAAAGTCAGTGAGAAACCAGCTGCAGAAAGTGTCTAGTTCTTCGTTCATGCTTTTCTAATCACCTTCATTATACAGTGTTAAAGTTTTCTTCACTTTTTGGGGTGGGGAAGTTGACACTGAAATGTGGCGTGCATTGTTAAGTGGTTACTGAAACCGGGTAAATATGTAATTGACGACATGTTTTCTAGATGCGAAGCAAGTACAAGGTCAAGAATGTTAGAAGGATAATCAGTTTGCCTGGTTGGGGAAGAAACAAGTTGCGGTAAACCAAATCTGAGGCACCTGTTGACGAAGTCGCTTTCTGCGTTGTGTTTGGATGTAGTAAGTGTCAGGTCGGCCCAGGTTATTGCAGGAAAGTTAAAGTCACCGAGCAGAAGAATGGGACCGTGCTGATATGACGTAGTTATCCATTGAAGGGCTTCATGAAATTCAGCAATAGAAAAAGAATCGGCATTTGGTGGGCGGTAACAAGCACCAAAAATAATGGGGGTTGGAAGCATTACAGGATATAAACATGATTTCTAAAGGGGAGGGGGTGTTAATAGCAACGCATTGCCGGTTGCGATGAGCAGCCAACAAAACGGCTCCGCCGCGTTTGTTCGCACGATCGCGACGAAAGATATCAAAGTTAGGAAAAGAGAACACTTTCGTATCACAAACAGATGAATTTAACCGCGTTTTGGTGAGCACGACAATATTACAATCAGTGGTATTAATGAGACCGCGAAGTGATTCTTGTTTGGGCAGAATACTTCTGATGTTTGCATAAATGAGAAATAAGCAGCTGTTGTTTGAACTCGCAAAAAAGTTTGTTCATAGCTATGAGGGACGTGGAATAAACTTTTGTGTAGTGTGATCGAATCATAAGTCGTGCTGTTAATCATAAGTTTATCATAACAGAGCCTGTAGAGACTTCGTTGTTTTTTCGTAAATGAAAGAACTTCCTCTCTGATTTTGGAATCTGCTAACTTTATAATGATAGGCCTATTTTCGTTAGGCTGGAAGGTTCCCATCCTGTGGGCTCGCTCGATGTCTGTTGGCTGGAGGGGTACGTTGAGCACCACGCTGCAATGCTCAGTTATTAAGCTTTCTGACTGGGCCCGTGTTTAGCGTTGATTATTTGTGTGTCCGAAAAAAATAAGGACTGTTCGACGAGCCCTGTCCTCAGAATCGGCGAATCTGGGTGTCAAGTGAGCGATTTGTGTAGCGCTGTTCTTAGCGAGAGTCTGAACGCTTTCGACCTGTGACTTGACTGTAACTATAGACGAGCAGTCCTCTTCTATATTCGTAAGCCTTGTTTTTTAATGTCGTTGAACGTTCTACCATGTTCTGATAGTTGTGAACGGATCGAATTCATTTTCTCTAAGAGTGACGTTTGCGGAGACTTGATGTCATATAGGGCCGACATTATGTCACTAATGTTTTCAGTGGTATTCATAACTGCAGAGCGAGTGTGGGGACCAGGGTTTACTTCAACATCCCCAGATAAAAGTAGCAGTTTCAGTATTACGCATGCACAGTCATGAACAATAATAACACAATAGCCTGGGCTCGGCAGCACTAGCAAAGCGGCGTAACTAGTACGCGATGTATGTAAAGAACAGCAAGTGGTTGCGTGCACAAAAAACATGCGGCGCTGGTGAGCGAACCCCATGGCAGGCGTGCCGCCGAGCCCAGTGAAGCAGATGGGTTAAAGGATGTACGGTATTGAGTATACAATCCGTATCTAGCGGTAACTTGCGCCACCTAGCCTAAAAAATTTTTACAGCCCTCCACTTTAAATTTCGCGATAAATTTCATTTCTTGTTAAATCATCCATGCGCTTCTCTAGACCTTCTCCGTCAATCTTCAAACCTTATTTTTCTGATCTTGTTCTTTTATTCTTCCGTTCTTCCATACTCGCCAGAAAAAACCCAGCGCTCCCTCCGAATTCATTACCACTTTAGGGAGGGCAGGACGAACCCCAGTGCGCTTCAAAGCCGCATCTTGCAACGTCTCGCTGTCACAATGACACACGGCACATATGAGTCTATCGCTTGAAACTTAGCCCCTCATGCCTTAGTACTTAACACTCCCATTCTCGTCTCACAGTAAGGGGCTCCACAATAAATTATCAAATTTTGTATCTTTGTTATGTACGGTTTTAGTGGCCTGCACACTGCTAAAACATATATTTTGCATTATTCGTTCCCACTTTATTCCTTACCTTACTTTTACTCTTTTCCACTGCAGTAATCTGCACGTCCCCATCACTAGTGTATAGGAACTGACATGTCAGCTTTAGGGCTCGGTTCGTCTATTTTGTGTTAGAATTTGTTTAATGTTTAGTTGCTCTTTATAAATTCTGTACCTACCACGTATCCTCCATTTCGTTAACCTTTGTTAAAATTTCACTTTACTAATTGCCCCCCATCATTGTTAATTGCAAGTATAACTTTTGTGCCCCTTATTTGATGTTCCCATACGCTCCCATTGCCAATGGACCTGCGCTCCTTTGTCGATTTTTTAATAATTTTTGTAACGTGTGACTCAATTCGTAATTCACCGTTGCCAAAAGGTAGTCCCGGCATCACCAGTCCTTTGAATATACCCGTCACAACATATAAATTACAGTTCTACAGTCCCTTGAGTTTGATATTAGATGAATTTATTTTCTCTTTTCTAATTATATTTTATTTACGTTCCTCAAGACAATGCCTTCACTCATTGGCTATCATACCTCTAGATATTTGCATTTTCTACATGGTATATTACAATGTCTTCTATTATCTGGTGTTCCCTATTTTTGTCGTTAAACATTATTACTCCGAATTTTTCGCTGCTTTACACTTTTCTTTTCACTTTCAGGCCAAAATTTTCTTTCCCGATATTCCAGTTTATTCATTCAATTCATTTCGATTATTTGCCATGACTAATTTGTACCATAACACTTTTCGAGAGAGTGCCTTATTTGGAAGATGGTTAATCCCTGCACAGTGGCGGACACAAGCGCGAGCACCTAGAATTCGATTGCGTACCGCTTCACAAGCCTCCCTGTTGGCGGGAGGGTGACATATTTGAGGTTTGGGAACTCGTGAAGCAAGCGATCCAGATGCTTGAAATCGACAGATCTTCCGGTTTGGCATTTGCGGCGCACTGCAGTGAGCGGGAGCCGCATGCGAATTCGCTTGTACTGCCAAGAGCGGAGTGTGAAAGGCCAGGAGTGGGTATTAAGGACCTAGAAAGCGTTAAAGCTTAAGTACACGAGTCTCACCATGAACCGTACCGCTGAGCCACACTTTTAGCACGGTCGGAAAAATATTTGTTGGAGAAACAGCCAATAAAGCAAGCATCAAAGGAGGACAAAAGCTATGCCTTCTACATCGAAATCGCTGAGATCGAATACAGATATATACATGTTTAAGTCATCAAAGTAATTCCTTTCAGATGAGGCTCATCTGCGCATTAACTGAGCACCTTATTCTGGCCCAGCGGGCTGCGTCTCGAGCTGAGCCATCATTTCGTCCACCTGATCCTCCAGCCAGTCCCCTCTTTGCATTCTTCGGCAGTCTTCCAGGGTGCTCTTACAGGTTCACTCTAAGACTACCGACTACATGTATGCCATTAGTATGTCGGTGACTTTGAGCTGTTTCATATAACCCTTGAAATGTTTTGTCACTATTCCATCCCAGGTCATCACCACTGGTACTGTAATTACTTTGCACCCAAGGTACATTACCGTGAGCTCATTTCTTAGTACATCGTACTTCTGATATTTTCGCAACTCGGTCTTGGCCAGGATGCTCTTTTTGGTGATGCCAACCTCAATCAGTGTGATTTCTTTCGTTTTTCGGTCATGTATCATCAGGTCGGGCTTGTTGCATTCAAGGGACAGTTCCATCTCGATCTTTACGTATGATTTCAATTTTACCCTATCATTCAATATTACCTTTTGAGCTATGTAATTCTTCAGCTTACCGCTCCGTCTCAATCCATACATCTTGGTGTAAAAGAAGTGAATGCACCTGACGACTTGACGACTTCATCATGGCGTTTCTTGTAGTACAGATCCAGCATTCCGCCACAATGTGTCGCCAGGTGTTCCACCGACCTTAAGCCCTCGAAGCAGTGGGGGCATCCTTTTGACATTCATCCAAAGTACAGGTTACAATCCTGTAATTTGGTGAGCTGTGGCGACATGTTGCCCTTCGTCAGCCAGATTGATGACATTCTTCGGTCGCAAACGCTGGGCACAACACTGCTGTTGTCGTCGTCTTTATCCTCGGCTCGGGCATCTTCGTTGGCACTGTCCCAATTATTGAAAAAATGCCGCGCACCACCTTCTTCATTCGCCTCATTCGACTCTCTTTCTGTTCTTTGCGGGTGTTTTCCTCAATTAGGTTGGACTCTTCAAGTTGGTATTTTTCCTTCAGGTGCTCACATAATCGCCCAAGCTGGGGTTTTTCTTTTTTTCTTTTTTTTTTTTTCTGTTCCATCAGCGCTCTTGTTTTCGGGTTCTTTTCGAGAGATTTCAACATTTTCAACAGCATTTGCCTAGCTTTCTCCTACACGCTATCAAGTCCTCTTCCCAGTTGGTCGCGCTTCAGGTATAGCCGGTTCATAAACGCCACATGTTGAGTCACCTTGTACTCGCTCAGGATCTTACTCACCTCCTTGTCAATCGTTTCGTATTCCCTCGGCTCGAAAGGCAGGATACCTACAAATTAATTGAGTGTCGAGAGTGCAAATTCGTTGATTCCTCTAAATAGGTTGGCAGCGTTTAGCTTTGTCTTTCGAAGCATCCTCGTTCTTTCGGTGGCTTTGTTGGTAACGATGGCCTTATTATTATCTTTCATCACATTTCGTGAGTCTTTCAGGATGCCCAGAAACTTGCAACTTCTGTGATCGTCCACCAGCTCTACGGAGACTCTACTGTTCCCGACGTTACTCGCTGACTTCTGCTGATTCACCCTTAGTATCATCTGGAAGAGCGTTTTTTCAGTTAAGCCACACAGCCTGATCAGCTCCTCTTCTATGTCAGCCAGTAACTTGATGTCATTGATGAAAATCAAATGGTTGCCTTCGATGTTACTCTTCTGCAATTGTTCGCAGTTTTGGTTAAGTCGGCGGCTCAATGGTTTCAACGCAAGTACGAACAACTACGGCGAAAGGCTATCTCCCTGGAGGAGTCCTTTGTTGATCCTGACCTGGCCAATCTCGCTCTGACGACAAACCAGTCTGGTGCGTTAGAGAGTCAGCATCTGCTTGACGAACTTGGTGATGTTCTCCGGCATGCCCAATTTCGTCGGTACTGCTACCAGGTATTCGTGATGAACGCTGTCATGCGCTTTGTGGATATCAATCCAGGACGTAGACAACTCGTTGTTGTACTTTTGGTTGAGCACTTTTTTGAGGAGGGTTTGCTCTTTGGCACCATGGCAGCCTCTTCGAGTACCCATCTGGTTGACCGAGATTACCTCATTTACCTCGCACAGGTCCATCACCAGGCCTGTGAGAACCTTGCTCAGCAATTTGTACATGTTCGGGAGATAAGTTATGGGACGTAGCTCTTTGCTCTGGATTGCTCATTTCGTTTTCGCGATAAGGTACGTCGTGCCCACTTAGAGTTGCTCGCCAATCTGTTAGGGGTCATAAACTGCTTTGACTAGAAGGTCGAAGAGACTAAAGTGGAGTGCAGACAGTTTTTTAATGAAAAAGCTGAATATGGGGGGGGGGGGGGGGGGGCTGTCGGGCCTGGTGTTTTCCACTTCGGCAGGAATTTTATCTTCTCCTCGATGACTCTCTTGACCCTTTCCTCCTCGGCTTCGGTCTGGAGCTCCGCTGGGTCCAATAGGTCGACCAATTCCTGGTGCTCCCCTTCTTCGTCATCGGTCGCATAGATTCCTCTCCAGAAAGTGATCACCTCACCAACATCGATGTCATCGTCTAACTCTTTCTTGTCTTCGCCAAGTCTCCGGTAGAAGGCGGACCGATTGAACTCCAACAGCAAAGTTTGTTCTCCGATACCCGGTCCGGTTCACCGCAATGGCCAGTTGTTGTTCTTTGTTTTTTTTTTCTGAAAGACCTCTTTTTTTTCTTCGATCTGGTCCTCAAGCTTCTTTAACTGGTCCTCGTTGTTCGAATGGTACTGGTTGGCTTTACAAACTCATTTTAGTGATATCGATGGAGCCTCGTTCTGTTTGTGACTGGTGACGATTTGCAGCTGTTGACTCAACTTCTCTATCTTTTTTTTAATGGCCTCCTTCCAGTTCACCTCTTTCTTTGGCTTTTCGATCACCTCCTCATATGTCAGCTGGCAAGCGTAGATCAAATCATTTAGCTCTGCTACAGTATTTGCCTCCTTTTCCAGCTCCTCTCGCTCGATCTTCATATTGAGCATCTCGACGGCCTGATAATTCACTTCCTTACTTTATACCTTTCTTGTTCTTCGGTCAGTTTGGTGATTAAGGGCAAACTCGATGTTATTAGCCGGCGGATGCTTCACAATGGTGTACAGTTGGCTATTTGTTATGGTCGCTGGCAACGGCCGTTCTCTTTCTTCAACCACCTAAACCTTGCGAGAAGGAAGTTGTCGATTTTTCCGCCGGGTATACTCGGCTTTCACCGCTGTTGACGTTAATTCTGGGTAGCTAAACTCGTCGAGCACAACTTTGTGTCCGAAAGTTGCGGAACGCGCTAATTGGACTCTCGCGACGCTGACGTCAAGCCGAGTGAGGTGTTAATCATCCAAGCTCCCTCGGTGCTCAAATTCCACCGAGAATGTAAAACACAAAGTCGTAGCGAGCTCCATCGAAGCGCGTGCGAGCAACACCGTAGAGCCAGCCGATTGAACGGCTGCACTGATGACGTCTCGCCCGAGTGTCGCTACATCCCTACGCCGCGTTAGAGTCAATGATGCGTAGATTGTACCTAGGCGGCCGGTAAATACTCTGAACCTTCTCGTCGCAAGATCGTCGTTTGTGGAAGTTATTGGTGACGACAAAGTGACGTTTCACAACTTTGGGAAGGAGTTATTTGAGGCCAAAATCTTTGCTTCGGAATTGAGGCGAAGATTGAACTTTGTGATGTTGTGGAGCCATGAGCGGTGCACGCGGGCGGCTTTATAGAGCTCATCTTCCGCCACTGTCAACAACGCCACCGGAGTCACCCACAGGCGGTTTGTGTAGAGACGTCGGTAATGTCTGAGAGATAAGAGGAAAGTGGGGATAACAAAAAAAAAAAAGCCGAAAAAAGGAAAATAAAAAAAATTAAAGACGTTTGCAAATTTTTGTAATGCGAAATTAGAGCTCAACTCTTGAGGAGGAATAAGGGAGGGTACAGAGAGGACGGTATGCCCCTCCTCCTCCCCTCTTCCTATCCTCCTCCCATTCAGTTTCTCCGCTAAATTTAGCAGGGAAAAGGACATCACATGACAATCTAGCGGAGAAATGAATTGGCGTTCACGTAGCATGGAATTGAATTGGTGTTGAGGTCATGTGACGTCAATTTCGCGCTAAATTTAGCAGGCCGGTTACGCCGACGGCGACGCCCACGCCGCGAAACCCGGAAACGGGCGCCGAAGAGCTGTGCTCTAAAGAAAGAATTAAGGTACGACCAACACACACACACACACACGCACGCACAAACAAATAGGAGTCTCAAGAAGGGTCGTAGAAATTGTTCGGGAGAGAGAGAGGGAGAGGGGAGGTGATGGTGGCGAAGAAGCGGGATATTCCTTTCCCCTAATATTTTATTATAACTTTCTGAAATGCTATGGTGGTTCGGGGCTGGGCGATAACCCCCCCCCCTTCCACCCTTATGCCCCTTGCCCCCTCTTTCGACGCAACTGGGGGGGGGGGACTAAATCCCTCCCTCCCCATCCTCCTGTTTCGACGACCCTGCTTAGAGGTGTTCCAATGAGCAATGACGAGGAACAGCACAGCGTGCAATTTTCGAAATAACGGTTCAAGAGATTCTGGAATTAAAACGGCTCGCGTTCCATGAGCTCTAGACTGGCCATGACAGACTTTCAAGCGAAAGACTCGTGGCAGGGCACGTATATAGTGTGCGGGCGCGTTCAGTGACGTCATTTTATAGTTGATACCTTTGACGATGGAGTCTGGATTATCAGTTGTGAACGACAAATTTGATGGTGCGTGTTCAAATCGACGATGTCAAGTTTAGTGTCCTCGCGTCCTTGAAGCATCACCGCCAATATTGACAACCTGACATTACTTTTATTTCCTTATTTCGGTTGATAAACATACTTAATCCCAAACTGACTGATCTTCGAATGTCTACCATAAACCTATTTTATCCCGCCGATGAAGGGACAACTGCCCGGAGGCGAAATTCGCCCGAAAGTGGACAACGGTAGTCGGCTGGTTGTGACCTAGCCACGTCGGGCTACACTTTGGCCAGACGAGATAAATCAAAAGAACGGCAGAGACGCTTTTTAGTAAATTCTGCTTGATCGGAGGAAATAAGAACGATACCAGACTATCAACTTCGACGGTGTTGATTTTAAAATGCAATTACCAAGCATCCATCGTGCTTTTTAGAGACCATCGAACATGACGTTGGCAGCTGATAATCTTTGTTGTGACGTCACATGTATGAGCCACGGTCGTCTCCGCGCGCTCTCTAGTGCTGCTTTTGTTCGCTGCCTAGGGAGGCGTAGGGATTTTTCGTCCCCTCAACGAAAAACGTCACGAAGACAGACGGATCTGCGGGTTTGTGAGAAAAGAAAGCTTCGCAGCAATCTTTCGGCTCCTCCCCCCACTATGTCATAACACAAAGAATATTTTTGTTGACGAGTTTAGCGACCCTGGTTGCGCTTCTGATTATTTTTGGCCACCAACCGTCGGGCGTCCGTCCATGTTGTCCTTTACTTCGCTCTAAAGGCCCTGTCACATTGAGGAAACACGGCGGAAACATCAATAAAACATGTTTCTCAACAGTTGAGAAACATGTCGGCTGTCGGCTCTGTTGCCCGACAAC